GATTTCTGAACTAATGCTAGGTTTTGATTAGTTTTGGTAATAATCCGTGGATACTAATTACTAATTTGCATAATGATTAGTCAATTTTCGGTTTTTCCACTGATATCTCAAGTACTAATCATCACATTTCAATGAAACTTGGTACATAGATGTCATATAACACTGCACGGACTTTATAATTTTTATGGTAATATCAGTACATGTAATTACCTAATTTGCATAATTAATTAATTTTCAGCTTTTGATATAAGTAGTGAGCATTACATTTCAATGAAACTTGGTACTTGCATACTCAAGGACTATGCAGAGATTGATTGTTTCGGATAAATATTTGTGCATATTAATCACCTAATTTGCATAATTAGTTAATTTTCAGCTTTTCCACGGGTATCTCAAGTACTAATCATCGCATTTCAATGAAACTTGGTACATAGATCCTTTAGGACTATGCAGAGACCTGATTAGTTTCAGGGTAAATAATTGTGCATATTAATTACCTAATTTGCATAATTAATTTTCAGCTTTTCTACTGATATCTAAAGTACTAATCATCACATTTCAATGAATCTAAAATTATGCAGACAATTACTTTTTGGTTAATATTTGTGCATATTAATCACCTAATTTGCATAATTAACCAATTTCCAACTTTCACACTGATATCTCAGGTACTACTGGTAATCATCACATATCAATGAATGTTTATACATGGATGCTGTAGGACAATAGACAGACCTGCATAATTGTGGGTTAAATCTGTACATATTAATTACCCAATTTGCATAATTAACCAATTTTAAGCTTTCACACTGATATCTAAAGTACTAATTTCCATTTTAATGAAACTTAGTACAAAGATGCTCTAGGACAATGTACAAACCTAATTAGTTTGGGGTAAAACTCTGTTCATATTATTTCCCTAATTAGCATAATAATTCATAATTTTTTGGTTCTAATCACATTTCAATTAAACTTGGTACATAGAGTTTTTGTTACATTGCGCAGACCTCATTAGTTTTACAATCAAATCTGTTCATGTTAATTTTCTGATTTGCATAATTAGTTTTCAGCTAAGTAATTTCAAATTATATTTAATGTGTCTCCAATACTCTCAGCACATGGGAGTTCTTTCTAAGCTTTCTTTGATTAGTTGAGTGTATCTCATGTACAAAGGTGTTAATTTGGAGTGAGATGAGATCTATTGATATATAGTATGTACATTTTATCCCATAGTGCAATTCAAGTCTCTAGACCAATGGGAAGTAGGAGTAATTCACTCCAAGATGTGTGCAAATTGTGTGATTCATCTTTTCTCAAACTTTAATACATTTGGTACATACATGTATATCCTAAAAAACAATTTCAGCTCAGTATGTTCAGTGGTTCTGAAGAATTTTTTTTTTCATTTTTGGCTCTTTTTTTGTGAGGAATGGCTCAATGTAATGATAAAAAGAAATCAAATACAATAATAAAAAAAAAGCTGGCTATGATTCCCAAATAATTAAATACTGTTTTGTGCTCGTTATCTGACGTTTCAACTGTATCAGATTATGTTGCCACAAAACTATCTTTTCAGGACGCATGTAATCTGTAGTATTACTACCAATGTAGACTTATCTGCCGAGTCTTTTTTTCAGATTTCGTCATGTGATACACGTGTCCTCAATGCATATGTTTATGTTAATTTTTCATGGAGTATTTTTGGTATATAAATGATATCAGTGCTGTCTTAACAAAACTAATCGTACAAAATGTTAATTAGGGTGCCAAAACGGGGCATTGTGAAGAAATCCTCTTATTAATTATTTTTTTATGAACCAGAAACTTTGTTTTCAAATCCATAATGTACAGGCACTTTTTTGTACACAAAAATATTTGATGCTGTTTAACCAAGCCAGGCCACTTAGTGATACCAAATTTACTGTATTATAATTGTACTTTAGTTTATTATATACTAGATCATTAAAAATGACTTAGTTTGGCCATAAAGACGTCTTTCTTTATGCTACTACTAACATGAACTGATTATCCATGTACTGTGTTCTATTTTATCAGTAATTCTCACTTGAATGAGTTCTTCTCCTTGCTGCACACACAGTGTATTATTTATAATCCAATTACTCACTGGGTTTTAATTTTGCTGATAAGTGAAATCCAATAAATTAAATCTACAGGAATATGTAAAATTACAATATAACTGATTATTGATTTTCTGAAAAATACGTGAAGACCCAGTGAATATATAATATATTATCAAAGTGAAAATAAGATTTTGTTTACAGTTCAAAGTCTGATATATTATACAAATGAAACATGTTTGATTAATTAGAATTAATTTGTTTTTGATTATGACAAATTTTGATTAGATTTGATAGAAAATTGGGTTTGATCTGGCAACAAATTGATGGCATAATTGCATCAGTTTATCTTTGTTAGTATACTAAGGAGGTTCAGGTTGAATTGAAGCTAATTGCTTACGTGTCATTCTCGTCAGCGTTTCATTTTTATGAGTTAATGCCACTAGGATAGTGAAAATAAAATCTGGGTCACTGGACAAATTTTGGAGAAACAAGTCAAAAATAGTCAAAACTTGTAATTTTTGCACTGATTTGTATGGTAAAATTATTTGGGTTCATATCTCAACATTTTGCACAGTGATAAAAAAGGTCATACCGGTATTATTGTTGATATGAATTCTAATATTGTTAAAACATTTCAAAAAATTGGCATTTAATTTAGTTTTCAGTACAATATTAGTTTTCAATGTACAATGAGTAGTTTTCTTCTATAATACATTATGTAGATGTACAGTAATATGTCACATGCGAGCATTGCAAAATTTGAATTTGGCTCAAGTCTAGATGCGAAATAATGAGCATGTGTATAAATGCTATACTTCAGTTAATAATGCACCAGGCAATTTTGAAGTGTATGTATGAACATCCACTGTCAGGGTTGTGTATTGATGTTTAATAAGTAATGTGTACTTCACTAAAATGTTTGTGCATATCGCTGTTTGTTTTCTTAATATGCTCAAGTTCAGCAAAATAGAATAAGCTAAAACTCTCTTCCTGCCTGAATTGAAAAAAAATATTACCTTTTCTGAGCTTTTGTGACAATGCGAGAGACATACCAATAAAGATTGTGACAATGCAAGACAGTCCCTCAAGAGACATACCAGTAAAGATTGTGACAATGCAAGACAGTCCCTCAAGAGACATACCAATAAAGATTGTGACAATGCAAGACAGTCCCTCAAGAGACATACCAGTAAAGATTGTGACAATGCAAGACAGTCCCTCGAGAGATATACCAGTAAAGATGTCAAACGAACATTCCATCATACATTGATTAATCAGTGAATAAAGTAATGTAGGATTATGAAATATGTTCTCAAAGTGATTGAATCTCTGGGGAGAGCTACCTGTCATATGAAATTCAGTTTTTTTTTATAATTAAAAAGAAAATTGCCCCCAGTTGAATACTCAAGCACATCCATCTTTGTGTGGTTGACTTGATATTATAATTGTAAAATAGAGAATTCACAATTTCAAGTGATAAAACAAGGTATCCCTCGGCTGTAATAAAATAAAAACAATCTTATTGTTATTCTGCTTATGTACTTGTGGCAGCGTTAATGAATAAAGTGTTAGTGCTGCTCTGTGAGTGTGACGAGCCGGTGCAATCGCAATCGATATGAACTTCCACAGTGGGAAAAAAAACTATGATGTGTTAAACTACACAAGAATACCACCAGTCATAAACTGAAGCAGCTGCTATATGTGTACCTGTCTGTTCATGCCTGTATTTCAGAAATGCTTGCCGGGCCAGTCATGTTCAAACATAATACACTTGTAATTGTGCCGCAGTCAAATCTTTGATTGACTGAAAGGCATTTTATTCCTAAATATGCACCATATCAAGCATTGCATTAATTTCATGTATGCACAGACTTCCTTCAGACTTTTTGGTAATTTGATATTCTTCATTTTGATTGACAGATCTGGTTCAAAATGGCCGACTGGTCGTCAATTTTGTTTTCAATAATGCTATTCTGTAGATACATCTCTGACATGTTGTCTTTTTCGATTTCTTTGAATCACATTCAAACTTCACACAAACATGAAACCTAAATGATTGCCGCCGGGTTACACGTACAGACATTTGTTTGTTTTAGTAGCGATCTCATTCAAGTCATCTTAATGCACCCTTAATAATATACAGACATGCATCTGAAATAGTTGTATATAAATAAGAATTCAATATGCTGCTACAGAGATAAAACTAATTGGGAACTCTGACCTCATTACTGGCTGGCTGTCGTCACTTGGTAACACTACAACATCATTTTCCCCCCAAAGATTTTGTCAGTATAAGGGGCATATGCAGTGGGAAATACATTTGATGATACTTAGATCATTGTACAAGACGTATAATCACTATGCAGTTTAAACATGCTTCTTTCCTGTGAAGCTTTTATATACTTAGGATTATTTCATTAATTTCCCTGTAATTTTTATTTGGATGAATTAAAAACAAAATTTTTGTCACAACAGAGGGCGCTTCAAAATTGCTAGAGGGTGCTGCACCCATTACCTTATTCAGGAATAACACTGCTGCTGTCGTGTCTTCCAAGTTCACTGCTTGTGCACTACTATAAATTCTTGATTTTCTTCACAGTGAAATGTGCATTTCATCAAGTATACATGTAAACGAAAAAAACAACAAGTATGAGGGTGATCCCCGAACTTGTTCCCATGGAAACAATGACATTGTGATTTTCCTATAGCCTGTAGCAACATTTCAGGCTTCAACAGGCTTATGTTAACTGTATGTTAAAGTTTTGGTGTGGTTTGATACCAGCTGTGATTACTGGAGGGACTGTGACTAGAGTTAGTGAAGAAGTGAAGCAATGGTGAACTGGGTGGTAAACATTAAATGAACATGACACAGTTTTCTTGCATGCTTCATTCTGTTCTTAATTCTCTTGATATACACGATTTCGAATTATGTGGGGTTTAGAATGAATTCAGTGTGATCTTGTGTCAGTGTGTGGGCCATCACGGCCATGGATGGGTTGTTTTCTGATTTTAAATTTAATAACCCCCCCCCCTCGTAACGTGGTTCACATAGCAATATAAAATTTCATTCATTAGTTCCAATCATGACCAAGTCTCTAAAAGACACTTGATTGTTCAGATCAGATTGATCACAGATTGTTCAGTGTCAAAGACAATGCATGCTGTACCAGTGTGCAACCAAATGTGTACACATTGTGTTGACTGCTTTTGTTGACATTTTAGTGATGTGTCATATCAGCTTGGAGGGCACACTTATGACAGGTGGTCATGTCCAGAGTTATCTGCAAATTTCACGCCAGAGTCTACAATTGTTCAAAACAAAATAAATTGACAAATAACTTTAAAACCAATTATTTATACATTGTTAAGCATAAATTATTTTACAGTGTGTATTTTGTTTAATTTCAATATGCTCAGATTCTTGCATCTCAATTTTTTTCAGTATTTTGTTGCTGGGAGGGTTTATTTTATTCATATTCAGCAGTCCAGAATTACCATTCCTCATCTACCCTGCTATGATATTATGGGCTATCGGTGGTTGCCAGCTCCTTGTGGTTAACTTTCAGGTATGTATCAAAAGATAAACACTGCCCTCTACAGTTGTGAATACACTGCATAATGTGCTCACACACTATCATATAGAATCAATCATAGAATCCCTTCCTCCCTCCCTCTCTCTCTCCCTCCTCCCTCCCTTCCTCTCTCCCTCCCTCCCTCCCTCCCTCTCTCTCCTTCCCTCCCTTCATTTCAACATATCATCAATCATGGCTTTGTTCAAAGTGGACATGCGCGTAGGAATTTTCACATGTTCTATCACCCATCTGTTAGCATAAAGCAAACTAGTGAAACTGTGGTATCTTTACAAATATGTCTGTCCCCCTTTTTTTAACTCCACTGTCACCAAAGATGACAGAGCAGAGCTGTTCATATATATGGAGCTGATTGTCTGTCATTCATCAACTATTGCATTTTTTACTTCTTACCAGCCAGATTGTTTGGATATTTTATATGGACTTCTATCAGATTAGTTTATTTTGTGACGATATCATCTATTTTAAGCAAATATTTTCAAAAAATTGTATATTTTTACTTCTTCTTGAAACTACCACCTTCTATGGACTGCTATCAGATTTGTTCATTCTGAGACAATATCATTAATTCTCTCTTTTGCCATTTTTGATACAAATGATATATTCAACTTCTTCTTGAAAATTACCAGTCTGATTGCTCTAATATTTGAGGTGTACTTAATTTTTATGAACAATTTATCAGGTGAGGTTAGGTTGGCATGTTCTTAGAAGCCAGAACCAAACTAATTGTTTGTGAGTTATCTGCATTTTGTCTTATGGGTGTGCATTACTTGACTTGTCTACCACACTGTTGTAGGACAGCCAAGCTATTTCTACTACCAGGTATCTTGTTTATATGTAGTTCCCAACACATTCTTTTATTATCTTGAGTTTCAAAACATTGAAATTTGTAATTGAACAGCTGGTGATGTTTTACTTTTCCCCATAGTCTCATGTATTAACTTAATCCCTGTGATATAACCTCACATTTATCTCCAAAATGTGGTCAGTCGCCCAATTTTGTTACATTGTTTAGCAATAATCAATCTATTCCTGAAGTATTAGCAATTTTCAAGGACTTTCCTGAAATAGTTATGTGCATTGATCAACCCAACCTCGTTATGAAAACATTATGATTCAAGTGTTGTTGCACTATAGTATTCGATATTGAGTTTTATGGTTCATGAATGGCTGGGACTCACCACATGGTGATTGGTAACCAACTCACATCTATGCTAGTATTTATTAGATATTGAGACAATATGAACTCATTATCGCTCAATGATTTGGTACGTGATTGAGTCTGTTACATTTCATGCCCAGTCACCAATATATTCCTGACTTTCTTGGTGTTTGAAAATGATAAAAAACAAAATTTGGCTGTACATTTTTAAATTCATTACCCATATACCATATAATCATAATGGTTTCACCAAAATTATTATTAAAAATAAAACAAATAGCCAAAAAAGCAGTCCCTTTAATAATGTAGAAAATACAAGAATTGTGAATGCTGTGCATAACTGCATTCATATCTTGTAGTAATACACACTCTACATCATTGTATGAATAATTTATACTTTTATCAGTTGATATTCCATTCCATGGTGTTTTCTGACAACCTTTGATGACTTCATAGGTGATACTAAACAACTGTGATAGACAACATGTCTCTTGTATGAATTATGAATTTCGGTGTCAAATCGGTGTTTACAGATGTCAACAGAGTCCTACGTCACATAAATTCTTAATGTCTTTGTTTTTTCAATGTATTTTATTCATTACAATTATAGTATTGATTTTCTCCCTGATTTCAACATTTCTAACGTACATCATTACATTGTGTGATTTGGTTCATTTTAACCTTTAACCTTGTGAATATACCAAGTCAACTTTGTCGCTTTTCGCAAGATGATCTTTTTTCAATTTTTTTTTTTTTTTTAATTTTGATCATAATCTGTTGACAATGGAAATAATATGCATCAGATCAAAAGTTATCCGAACAAAATTTACGAAATGTTGAACCAAAATATTGACACGAAAAATTGATGGCTTTTCAAATCGTTAATTGGGTTATACAAATGTTTATCATTAAACTTAGCATTTTGTATGTAAGATTTGATTCACTTTGTTTTTCCTATTATTAAATTGGGTTAGCACTAAGTCTAGGCACATTTGAGCAAAGTGATAATACAATTAGGTTGCGGCTAATGCTCTGCTGAATCGATTTGATATACTTTTCTCGCCTCTATGAGATACAATGTAGATTTCCATGGATGGTTTAATGTCCGGAACATAATCCCATTATTTATCAATAAATTTTGTCAATATGTATTTTGCACAGCCAGACAAAACTTTTGCGCTGTGGCTAATCATTCTAACGTTCTATCGCTCACACTGCATTAAATGTAGCTGATCAAAGTGTGAGTATGTCATGTGTTGTGTCACTCTGCAACAAATTGAAAAGACGTGTGTGCAATTCTCAATGATGTTCACTGATCCATGTATAAAATAACATGCTTATCATCTAATCTTGATGTCTATTTTCTGTTACTGTAAAATCTGTATGCGGCTTCTATTAAAAAGATACAATGGAAGACATGATGTGGCTTCTACATGTATGAACCTTTTCACCACCAGACTCTCTTTCTCTTTTTTCTTATATCCTTCAATATTTCTGGAAATGAACCCTAGTTTTGGAACCAACAGACAAAATTGAGGTCAATTTTCAGTTTATACTAAAAAAAAATTGGCTATTTTTGTCTCGTTAGTGTATTACGCTAATCTGATCGTTTTCTACTAAGCAGTGCATTCATGTGTGTTTTTATTTTGAAACTTGTTGTATACTTTTATATGCCAACATACTTATAAAACCAATGTGGAGTAATTTTAAATTATTTTGTGTTATCATGAGGATATTTTTCATCTGTAAAATATATATTCTTTGTGACGCCTAATTTAAAATTAACCAGTTTTTTTCTGCATGCACTTATTCATCTTTTCCATTGAAATCTACTAGTCTGATAAATGTCTTGGGACTTGTATAAAAAAGTACACCGGACTATGTCAGTGTTGTTTTCACTGTGTAATTGTCAAAAGAACTGTTTCAAAGCTTTTTAGTAACCATGAAAAAAATGAATCCATGTGGGAGGCATATCATATGAGTTGGTTATTGCCCACCACAAACTTAAGACACTTGTAACGTACTGAATCACTCTCTATCATGTCATAGTAATTCCTCATCACTTATTCTTCATCCCTGCATTTTCATCTTTAATCCATTTCAAAGCAATGCGTCATGGTTTCTGCAATTATTTCTACTCTCGCTTTATTCTGCCGTTAACAGGATTGTTATGTGTGAATAACGTCTGCCATATATATTTGCTCGTAGCCATGCAAAACTCATCTGTCTTAACAATTGCTTTTACAAAACCATCATTTGTCCATTTGTCTACCTGCTGACCATTTGTCTGCTTTCATGGCCATCTGTCTCGCAGTTTACCAATTTATTTGCCTGTTAATCTGCCCATCCATTTATACATCAGTCTGCCCATTCATTCACCTGTCAGTCTGTCTGTTCATTCACTTGTTTGTCTACCCAACCATTCTTCAGTCGGTGTGTGGTACACCCTGATGAATTACATAATAGTTGGTGTGTCAGTTCAGCACCAATCTGAAGGGATGTGTAACCATTGGCCCTATATGCTGTTGCAGTACCTAATTATTTAATCTGTGTACATTCAACTTGCATATAATTAGCATATAATTTAGCTGATTTTGTCATTTATATTCTGATATTGTATTCGCATAGAAACCAACTTTCCCGATTCTTTCAGAGTAAACTTAGTCACGTCCACCTAAGAATTCTTGACTTAGCATAGTATGATAGCAGTCTTGGCACTATGCATTCATTCTGATGTGTTTCATTAGTACTGTGAAGCTATCTATTCAATTCAGATCTAGATTTTAATTGTGTTTAATGATGATTTATTGTGATGTCACATATATCATAGTTTATCCTTGTACATTGTATTGTCTTTATTGATTATTGCTTGATTCCCATGGTGTTTTTGCCATCATTAGGCATCAGTTCACTTTACTGATAGATAGTAAGGTTGTTTAAACCAATGTTTTGGAGGCAGTTGTAATAATATGTGAATAATTAACATTAAATTGGGGGAACTTTTGATGTTACATGTATGAACATTCATATATATTTGTGAAATTCATTCTCCTCTCAAAATACCTAGGTGAACATGTGTATTTAGTCTAAATTGGAAGCATGTTATGAAACATGGTATTTAGTACAACTTGTAAATAAATGGGCTTTTTGTCATAGTTGGCCACGTATTGCTGTTGCAGTTTGCCACACCCTTCTGTTGCAGTTGGCTGCACCCTGCTGTTGCAGTTTGCCACATCTTGCTGTTGCAATTGCCGCACCCTGCTGTTGTAGTTTGCCACACCCTTCTGTTGCAGTTGGCTGCACCCTGCTGTTGCAGTTGGTCGCACCCTGCTGTTGCAGTTGGTCGCACCCTGCTGTTGCAGTTGGCCGCACCCTGCTGTTGCAGTTGGCTGCACCCTGCTGTTGCAGTAGGTCGCACCCTGCTGTTGCAGTTGGCCGCACCCTGCTGTTGCAGTTGGCCGCACCCTGCTGTTGCAGTTGCCGCACCCTGCTGTTGCAGTTGCCGCACCCTGCTGTTGCAGTTGGCCACACCCTGCTGTTGCAGTTGGCCACACCCTGCTGTTGCAGTTGGCCGCACACTGCTGTTGCAGTTGGCCGCACCCTGCTGTTGCAGTTGGCCGCGCCCTGCTGTTGCAGTTGGCCGCGCCCTGCTGTTGCAGTTGGCCGCGCCCTGCTGTTGCAGTTGGCCGCGCCCTGCTGTTGCAGTTGGCCGCACCCTGCTGTTGCAGTTGGCCGCACCCTGCTGTTGCAGTTGGCCGCACCCTGCTGTTGCAGTTGGCCACACCCTGCTGTTGCAGTATGCCACACCCTACTTTTACAGTTGGCCACACCTTACTGCTCTACAAATTTAATATGGTGGCATGTATGTGTGTGAGTTTCTATTTGGGAGAGATGAATATATTGCTCATGTTAATAGGGAAAACACAGAAATTCATTATTCACTGATATAAATCTGTGTTTGTTACTCTGTGTGCATTGCCTTGCGATAAATGTTATCAACAATCTTGTTCATATGGGAGGCATATCTTGCACATTTGTGTTTTGATGTCCACCACCCTATAATGTCATTGAAATACAGAAATGTAGTTATTAAGCCTGGATTCCTGAACACAGTAATCTCAAAAACCTGTTACTGCTCTTTATGCATATGTTAATTACTGTATTTCCTGTTCTTTCTTGCAGATTGCCAATCTATTTGCTTCAAAAAGATCCACCATTATTACATTTTTATCAGCAGCCTTTGATTCATCTGCCATCACAATGCTGGTCATCAAGGTAATACTAGAGAGGGGTATTTAGGTCAGCTGGGGAATACTAAAAATAGAATTAAACGTTAAAAATCCAGTATCTGCATTCATTTCAAAATGTATTTGCACTTGTTTGTTTGAACGTTCAATTTTTTCTTTATTTAGGGGAAATTACGTCATCAACATTTCATGTTAAACATCAACATCACATGTTTACATGTGACGCTATCACAACAAATTAAAATAGAATCTTATCACTGAACACAAACATTTGTACACATATGTCAATCAATGTGATCACTATACTGCCCTCGTGCATACTTTGTGGTATTCCCATAATAACCTCAAAATACCTGAGATCACTAAAGAACAGACAAGCAACGCCTATTGTTTTAGGTGTGAATTGGGGATTACACCAGTACGATGCGTGCCACGGCAGACCTTGCTGGTAGTTTATTGACACAAGTCTACCCGAAGATTCCCGAACATACTCACATTTACCTGCTTTGTGTGTTTTCTTAATGTCATTCCAGTGCAGAAATCGGAGACACATACTTTCAGATCTAACCGGAAATGACACCTATGTGTTCTGACTTTTCCATCGCGTCGTTTCTGTCGAAATCGGTCAATTTTTGGATGAGTTACAGCATTTTTAATGTTTCCTACTTTCGTCTACGATATTTATGAATACATAATGAGCAAATGTATGGTAATATTTCTCGTTACTTTGACTTTTCCCAACATTTATCGAAATTTTTCTATAAAGATCAAATGGCGGTGTTGGCGTCGACAGTGTTCCTTTGTGTGGACTATTCGTAGTTTTTTGTGGACACTACGTTTGAAAACTTGATATGCTCACGCAACTAAGCGATTAAAGTCATTTAATATTTGGTAGGAAGCTAGGTATTTTCATGGAGCACAAATTATAATTGTCTCTATTCTCTTTGTTTTATAATTTCAGAAACATGGATAATGAATGTAGAAATAGATTTGATGAAATAATAATGGATATCGCGTTATTACGTTATAGTCGCGTTAGTTCGATCTGTTGTTTATTGGATTGAAAAGTTAAGCCCAAAAACAAACATGACACGCATCTGACCAAAGGAAAAGCCACGTAGCTAGTCTGTTCTTTAGTGGTCTGAGAAAATACATACAAGGAGAACAAGAATATGACAATTTAAAAACTACATTATTTACTCGAATTCAGGTTGCCAACTTGACTGCTATACATGTGTATATAATAGTTCTATCCTCAATGAATCTGCCAACTAATGCCATTTTGTGTTATTTCTCCACAGTTCGCATACGAGGGCGGCATATCCCTACGGACAATATTCATAGCGCTGGCTGTACTCACTCTGTTTATCAACATCAACACCTTTCTTTTGCTGCCCAGCAAGCGTATTCCATTTCCACTGCCAAAGGATTATTTTTACCGGAACACCACATCGCCATCCGGTCAGCAGATTGAAGAGATTGGCTTGAGACCACTTAGCAGTGCTAAAGTGCCAAATGGTAGTACACATAGGCTTCATAATAGATTTCACAATGACCCAGAGGAAGGTACGTTCTTTCTAGTGTATAGTCAACTGCACACTCGGTGTTTTACATGACAGAGCTGTTTCTATGGTTGTCTGTCGTCATCTGTCAACATTTCTATTTTCAGCTTCTTGAAAAACTACCAGTGCAATTGCTTTGATACTTGGTATGTAGGTACCTTGGGTGGACCTCTGTCGGATTTCTAATTGGCATGGCAACAACCATGTAAACTGCCATGGTTGTGATACACCTTGAACATTGTGGGAACAATAACCATGACAAATAACTATTCATGTAGAACATTTGTCATTTTTCTTTTGAGGAAGACTCTCAACAAAGACAGCAGAGCTATTTTGACTGGGAAGTCGCTTGGTCACATTTTCACATCCATTCCTGGATGGTGTTTATTTGAGATTCTATTTTGACAATATTTATATACGACAGTATGTGTTTTTGGCAGATACTACTTTTCTCTTCAGAAAAGTTGCATTTTAACCAACCATTGTTAATTGTTTTTTTGAAAGTTTATAGTACTTTCCATCAATTAATAAATAACAAAGAAAAACATAATTTTCAACACAAATAATAGTCATAAATTAAAAAACCCAGAATTAATTCATTTTGCAATAAATTGTACTCCAAGGCAATATAAGGATATTGACCTAAAAAAAGTTGGGGGCCACCAGCCTTTTTTTCGAGAAATTGATGGTTGTATTTTAGTGGAAAGTCGCCATTTTGACACTATTATAACACTTTTACCACAGGTTCCTATGGCAGAGATATTATGCAATATCTCACAATCTAGCCTGGTGACATAGGCTGAAATAAATCATATATTGTTAATGATGGAGTACATTTTGTTGTTCTGAATTATTTAAAAAATCTGGGTTTCAAAAAGTGTCAAAAATTTTTCTTTAACATTGTGTTCTATACAATTGTTCTAAAAATAGCAATTTTCAAGAAATATTAGGACATGTTTCTCAAAAAGCTTAACTGTAACACACAAAATAATGCTATTTCATTGTACTATGGGACATTAGCTTCATGATTGTACATAATAAACTAATGAACATTGTCATGCGATTTATGACCAATTTTGCCCATTAAGCCAGGTTCATTAAACATTGTTGTACAACTAAGTCTTGTTGGCTATAAAGTTGTATTGTGGGATGGCAACATTTTTCAATTTGGTGTAACTTGGCTAGAAATCAAATCTGAAAGCTCTGGTGTTCATACGTTTTACTGATCGAAACTTAATGAAAATGTAATGATCAAAGTTCATTTCAGTGTAGTGGTAACATAGTGAAAAAAGTTGTCTTGTGAATTTGAAAGTGATGTATCTAATGGTTTATACAGGAAACACCTCAAGAGTGTGGTGTGCATCTCAGATTAATCTTAATAGAAAATGTTTCACATCGAATATGGATTTTGTAATATAGTCCATCTTTGTTCATCAAACAGAGAACCCACATGCGATTTGTGACTTGCTGAATAAGATACTGAGAACACATTCACAATCAAATCTATGCAACTGCTCAGTGATGTCTGGCCATTGGCTAGAAACTTTTGATACGGATATCTTACTTGACATTTCAACCAAACATTTTACAGACAATGCAACTTTAATGGAAGATCAAAATGTATCCAATTTATATTGAGCGACTTAATTGAGAGATTCTACTGTTATAATATCTCAGACACATCTAGTGTATAGCTAATATTCAATACTGCATATAAATACGGTCTACATGGTCTGCTCATAGAAAATAAATATGAAAACGAAAGCAGCCATATTTTCTTTGACTTATCTACTTTGATTTTCACTACGTTTAAAATGCTCTCTTATACTAACTAATGTTCATTCCTAAAATAAATCTTGACATAATATGCGGTTATTATACTATTACCGCTCTAGGGTATATGAAGGTAGTTCAGTGATTGTGTTGAGCGAAGCATATCCTTAATCAAGTAGTCGCTCTTAAAGTAAAAGATAAAAGCCCAGAATATCTGTGAAAAGCATTGAATGAGGTTTATGTTTGCTCGGTCATTTGCATTTATTGATGTAATTATGTTCCTTTAATGCAAGGCAACTATATTGTTGCTGTATCTAATGTTTACAAAGCAAATATAAGAAATATATTCGTAACACTTTTGTTCATGTTCGTACAGGATTTTATTGCTGCTAAATTATATTGTTTTCGTATAGTAATTCTATTTTATGTTCTCTTTTATAATATCAGATAGAAATGTCCGCTTAGATCGATCAAAACTACGTACACTTAGTGACAGCGAAGTAGACAGATACCGTAAGAGATTAGCCGCTAAATTGAGGCATGATAGGGGCAGCATGTGTCATTTAGATGTAACCAATTACCGTAAGGTTACTAGCCTTGATTTGAAGAGTCAAAAATGTGTATGCTGCAACTCCGCAGAGTCTTTTGACTCCGATCACCATGGCAACAAGATGGAGGAGATAAAGTTAGGTGGTGCTACATTGATGATTGGCAGTGAGGAGAAAACAGGCATGCATGATAATGCAGAATTTCCATTAAAAGAAGTGGGGACACCATCGCTAGTATTAGGTGAAAGTGACCCAGGTACATGTAGGGATAGAAATGCACTGACTATAAGCTCAGATAGGATAACTGACTGTCAATCTTTGGAAAGTAGCGTGGCTAGGGTTGTATGTCAGGCACAAGGCGAAGCTAGAGCAGGTGGGCAATGAGTGTGGTGAAGGTAATTAATCAATGAAATTGAATATTAAATAGAAATTTGTTACAAAAAAACTTATTTCTTGTATAAACTATTTATTTATCATAGTAAGGATTTGTAAGATAAGAGTCTGCTACTGGCGCAAATAGCAAGATGCTCACAAAATCACATTTTTAGAAAATGCTACAGATGGATTTTGTGAAAGATGTTCAATGTTTTCTATTGCCCTTGCAACATTCACAGTGTATATATTGTGTTTTTTGTCTCTTTGAATAGACAGTTAAAACCTCATTGTGGTCTGTGTTTCCGCAGTTGAACTTTTCCTGGGATACTGATCTAGAAATATAACAAATGTGCATACAACTCAACCAACTAACTGTCGGATCTATCATCACAACAAGTGTCTATGGCTTTCTGTGATTGCCAGTGGTGACAGATGCATGGAAGTTGCACACCCTTATCTTCTAAATCTGTGGAATTGGTGTCTGATAGCCACTAATATCTCATTAGAATTTGTCAAATTATGAAAACTTACGACTGATTTGTGTTCTTACATTATGGGTGTGTATTTGTGCTATCTAAGTATTACATGGCTTGAGGGCACTCTTACAAAAAAAAAAGTTGTGTCTAGAAATATAGCAATTGTGTATACAGCACTGTCATTGCAATTGATATCAATGTTGAATGACTAAGATTAAGATTTTATTTGTCGTATCAAGACGGAGGGACGATTCTTGAGAGGATGTCGTATTTGTTCTATTTGTGACGTACATAATGACATAAATAACAGATATATGTCTATGGTCAAAATCATATTTTATTGGTCTAGTATACACAAATGTTGGGTTTATATGTGTTTTTATGGAGATGCATTTCTGTAATAGAACACATACAATGTTTAAGTTATTTTCCATATAATATAATTGTCATTGTGTTTTGGGAACCATCAGTTTTTGTATCTCTGTCAATGCAGTGAGCACGTTTCAATGCAAGTTTTTTGTATTTCAGATGGTTATGGTGGATCTTATAGTCCGGATTCTGGTTTGGGAATGACAACAATCAACAACAACCAGAATGCATCTAACAGTGCTGACTCTCCCAAGTCAACAACAACATTGAAGCAATGTTTGTTGTCTGGTTTGTTCTTTTCTCATCTGATTTGGATGAGCATTGTACAACATAGGAACTGGTTTTACCTGGGAACATTTAACCCCTGGATAAACACTTTAGTGAGGGGCCAATCGATATCTAGTTCTGAAGCTGACATTCAAGGTAAGTTAGTATGATAATCTTGTAGTCTAGCATATGCCTGGTATTTCTAGGGAAAAAAATGGTACTATGCATCAGCAAGATACTGGTGTATTTGCCAAATTTAGTGTTATGTGCCACCCTTTTTAAGCTCTGCTCCTTATTATCACTGGAGCTTATGCTACATGTATACACATGTGTTATCTGTAGTTTAGTTGACAGCAAAAAAATAGGTTTGTATAAGAATTAAAAATAGTACAATGCGCGAGCAAAAGTTGCTGGTGTGCTTGCCAAACTTAGCATTATGCACTGTATTTTTTTTTTTTTTTTTTTTTGCTGTCATGTATCATTGACGCTTATAGTATATATCTGTACTACTGGTAGTCTGAGTTGTCTAGAAATAAAATAGATAGGGATGGAAAAGATGTGCTGGTGCTCATGCCAAATTTAGCATTACATGTACTTGTTTTTTTATTTAGTCGAGCTCTGCTGTTAGCTTACCAGTGGAGCTTATAGGTATGACAGATTGTTTGACTCCGGCGTTAACTTTTCATCTAATTAACGCCCTGACCAAAATTTGTCAGATTTCTTTAATTAATATTTACCATGCATATACCAAGGTTGGTTGTTTCTCAGATTTGCTCATTTGCCGACAATGTTTATATTCTTTTTGTTCTTTTCACAACTTCATTTCAGTGAATATTTTTGGCAAATATTTCATTGATGTTTGACACTATTATTAAGTTAAGAATGAATAGTTTTGCCAAGTTGTTTTATATTTCTTTTTTATAATTCTACAATATCTTCCAAACACACTACCAATAAAAACACTTAATGTACTTTACCCTTTCTTGTGTCTTTCAGTTAGTCATTACACCACGGTGTTTGCCTTTCTTCAGTTTGGTGCAGTATTCGTTGGACCATTAAATGGATTGATAATAGATAGACATAAAAAGAAAACACTGACCCGACAAGGCAGTAGAGGCTCCTGGCAAGGTAATCTTTAGAAAACCAGTTATTCTATAATTTGCTCTACTAGTAGTGCATGCTATGTAAATGTTGGTAGTGTGTCTATGGCCAAAAGAAGTAATATATGAATGATCTGGTATATAATTCAATACTCCATCAAATTTGTAAGATAAGCAGTGATTAGTAGACCAGCTCATAGAAATGAATTATGGCAATGTTTTTGGTGAAATGAAGGTCGCCACCAAATTTCAGCACTGTGAGTACTGTAAAAGACTTAATTATTCACTTTAATTTTGCTTATTTCGCTGACTGGAAAATGCACTAATTTAAAACCCACCGAATATGCCTAAAATGCTTAATCAGTGAAATTTAAACCCAGTGAAAATTAGTCATTTACAGTACATACTATACATATGTTAAATAAAAAAACATGCAGATCACATCACAGACACCAATGATTTTTTTGGGCCTACATTTCCTAAAATCACAATAATTTTGGTCATACTTAACTATTTTTGGGAGTAGTGAAAACCAAAAATTGATCAGTTGTCTCATTTCATGTAGCCTACTCATTTCAGATACTGCTAATGAATCATCAGGTTACATTGAATGGTTACTAAGGGCGACAATTACCAACTACCACTTCCTCTATACTAGTAATGAGTTATTATTAATCAAATTTATTTTCACACCATTGAAATCTTCTATTTCGCAGTTCAAAGAACACGAGGTCCAAACGCTGATCTACAAGATACAGTACTAGCTTTTCTGGTGACCAACACAATTTGTGTTCTGTTTTCGATTGGAGTAGTTATACCCATCTTGCAAGTACAATACATTTCATTTGTATTACAAGTCATACTCAAGACATTTGTATATGGTCTTAATGCTGCTTTTATTGCCACAGTGTAAGTACAACTCACCACTCCACTCCCAACCCACCCCCACCCCACCCCAAAATCCATAGTCCCATAGCAGGGATTTAGACCACTTGCTATTATACGAACAAATTTGATGTCAGGGATTATTTCAACACTGTCAGTTTATGCCCCACCTATGGGTTTTTAATATGTTGCCTCGTGAGGGAAATTAATAATCTAAGAAAGAAAATGCCAAATTTCCCTCTTCAGCTCGAACTCCTACCACCTGGTGGAATACGTTGATACATGTATGACATTCCTGTCATTGAAACTGGTTCCCTACAGTCATCATTTTACATTTGAAATCATATCATTGTCTGTATTATTCAGAGCTTTCTGATCAGTCTTTGAGCTATATTTTTGTTCCACTCACTAAATCGCAACAGTATTCACATGTCCGAAAAAGAATTTTCAGATTCAGAGTTCTCTGCATCTTACACAGGTACGGCATGACAGGATTTGTGTAGATGATAAAGAAAAACTGAGCAAGATCCTTCAGGATCTAATGTGGATTACTCATGAACTTTAATTGTAACTAGTGAATTTGGTTCATGACACAAGTTAACGCCTTTCAACAAAGCATGTACACCCTTTAGTATACATATCTCATGTATAAAAATACAAACCTTTATTGTTTATGGCTGCAGTAAATGCTTTCTACTCCTTATAACAGATGCGTTTGTGTTGTATGTTGCAGTTTTCCTGTGGATTATCTTGGTACTTTGTTAGGATTCAGCCTGGCGTTGTCAGCCATATTTGGACTTATCCAGTTTCCACTCTTTAAAATGTCACAACATTATTTTGATAATGATCCATTCATTGTGAGTATATATTGGTTTATCATTGTATGTGTTTTGTACGTTTGAGAGGTGACTGTCACTACTTGATTATCTTTTGGATGATATGTGTGCATATTAATTAACTTATTTGCATAACAATTCAGTTCTTCCACTGAGCTTATCACAATCTGATTCAAGATGGCTGAATGGTGGCCATTTTTGTGCTAAAAAAGCATAACAAATCAAGCATTTCTGGCATTCCGAAACCAGATCTTGGTTGTTTATGGATGGATTTCGTTCAAACTTTGTACATAAATTAGACTTTATGGTTCCCTGATGTATGTCATTTTTTTTTCAGATCGGATTCAAAATGGCTGACTGGTGGCCATTTTGTTTTAATGAATGACGTGCTTTGACTGATTATGTTTAAATTTTATATATTCATTCTACATCATGACATAGATATATAGATGTATTGGTTTGATGATCCAATTCATTCTGACTCTGCAATAACCATCTATATCTTAATTGTCTCATAGGTTAACGTTGGACTGTTGGTGCTAAACCTTGTAACCTACGCACATCCGTTTTATATAACGTACTTCTGCAAGAGGGAAGACCGTTTACGAGAAACCGAAGAATACGAGAGATTGTGTAGACAGAGAGACAGCGAGCAACTGAAGGTGATGAACATGATATCAACTGTCTGAACAGTCATACTATGTACTTGTATAAATTTCAAAAAGAAAAAATGGGTTGAAATTCAAAAAAAACTGTGTAAATATAGCGATTGTGGAGACAAATTGTAATAATAATAATAATTAATATAATCATATCTACTTTGGGATATCGATATGTAAATGAGAATGTACACATAAAATTAATGCAGCTTGAAAGTGATTGGTTGACACTGTATTATTTATAAGGTCAGTAGTGTGGCCTATTAACATATTTATAATTCTATGTTGCTATGGTGACATAAGTTATGATGAAAGTACTTAAAGTCATAAAATCAGTTTGATTACACATCACACAGCAGGTGTTTGAATTTCATGTCAACAAAATATTGTATTTTATTTATCAGTTGGTACCCATATCAGTCAGAGTGCAGCATGACGACTATGTCGCTTCGAGCCAATTATTGTATGATGTTGAGTAAATTTCTTCTATGAATCAAATGAACATACACCTTATAAAAACTTGCAATTGCTGTAAGTTAGTTCGCTGCATAGAGTGATCTATTATCAATAATAGCAATATTTATATTTTTTCTTCAAGTACGTAGCTTTAGAAAAAAAAACTGCTTTGAGGAATACTGCATGTTATCTCTGGTGTCAATGACCTGTTTATGAAAATTACAAAAATGACTGGGTGAGATCAATTGACTGGGTGAGATCGATTGACTGGGTCAGTGAGATCGATGGACTGGGTGAGATCGATGGACTGGGTGAGATCGATTGACAGCATATTTATTATTCCTGGATTTTGGGTTGTGCTATTGTCATTTTTATATGTTTACACCTGGTCTGAAAATAACAGAATATTGCTTGGTATGGACTGAATACTGCAAACCACTAACGCAGCTAAGAGACCCTGAATATTATGGTTGCTCATATGATAAAAGTCTATATTGAAACTTAATGCCTTGAATCAAATTTGACATTAAATTTAAACATGTTTTTGACCTGTTTAGTCTTTTGCACCCCAAAGTCAGCTTTTTACACCTTCCACAAAATTTTTTTTTTATTCTTTTATTCTTTCATTCTTTTATTGTTTTTTTTCATATTTTGTAATTATCCCAATTTTGTTTAAAATTCTGCACAAATAGGCAAAAAGTTCATCTCTTGTGAATAGTAACTGGTAGATATACTCGTAAGAGCACATATAACTTAAATGTCTGCTTGACTGATAATGTGGAATGGAGTGGTAAAATATATAACAAAATATTATATTAAATGTGATTGTTATTGAATTAATATTGAAAAAAAATGTACATATAAAATATTGGAATATGTTTATTGCAGTGAATCTTGCCAACATATTGGTAATTTATTACATCTCTGAAATGTGCTTGATTTAAAAGGCTCTGAAATATGTAAATAACCTCATTGATATGTAGAAAAGACCTGTATCTTCATCAAATTGTAGTATATATATATTGTACATGTAACATGTAAATTATGTGTGTACTTGCACGTGATGTTCCATATTTATATTGCAAGCTCAAAATAGGTCAGTATTTCTGCATTTGTTTATTATTACTTTATATTTGATATTTAAAACTTTAAGTTATTTAGTACAGTGCATTTTGTTAACAGTCCACCGCAGAGAATTGTGTAACTATGGATCAATGGAGTCTATAAAGACCATAGCAACTATTGTTTTTATTTTTATGTAACCATGTCACATGATAAATATTCAGAATGGCTTATTTCTATAATTTATCAAAAGATATTTCTATTAAATGAAAACCAACTTTTAATTTGTAAGAATTTTTTTTTTTTTTGAGATTAATCTCTGCGCAACCATTCTTGGTTACCAGTTGAGAATAATCTTTGTGTTAGCATTGGAAACTGCCATTGTTTAGGTGAGAAACGATGAATCGCTTTGTGGGAAGATCTTAGTCACATTGCCATTCTGAAAGCTCTGATAATTAACTGATTGGCCATTTTGATTTGGGTTTGTCATTTGAAAGGTAATAATTTTATGAGTCTTAACTCTGTTTACGTATTTTGTTCATATAATAGACACCTTTTATCCTTTCCAGAATAAGAGAAATAGACATACTGTAAACCGCTTCAATTTTGTGAGTCGGTAAAAATCAGTGACTTTCACAAAATGATGACTTCACAAATGACAAAAAGTCATCATTGCGAAAATTTCAAACAGTATCTTCCTTTACATTAGTCATTCCAGTTTTATCAAATTATTTGTCAATCTACAAATGATATATTCTTATTGCAGCTGATATTGCACGCAAAAAAGTACAGTGAAATATATGTTTGTTTGTTTTTTTATTGGAGATTAAAAACTTGGTCACTTTATGATTTAACGTTAACAATTTGTGACCAGTCTTTTTCTTTTAACATATATGTACCTGTTTCTGAAGTTCTTAAAAAGTTTTTAATTTATGAAGTTTAAATTAATGCACATGCAGTTTATTTTCACTGATTTTTTGTAATCTTTAATATTTTGAGTGTCGTATTCGAGTACATGTTTTTTATGTTTTGTGTGTGCGTGTTCTCCCAGTATATATCCACTTTAGAAGTTGGGGGCGCTGTTTAACAACACACCACTGTTCAGTGTTTGATTTAACTAAACTTACAAATAATTCACATTTATTTATAGTTTTAATATAATACTATATTTCAATTCAAAATTCTTCAGTATAGATTAGTAAAATTCTTGATATTTACCTAAGCAAAATGTTTTATCAAGTAATTTGAAAAAAAGAGCAAATAAAAAAAAAAAGGGAGGGAGGTGGTGGGACTTGTTTCCATGGTAAGATTGACATTGTGATTTCCCTATTGCTTTAAGTCCAATTTTGGCGACCATTTTGAAATACCATGCCAACAGAGTTGTTGGATGTTCATTTATGTACCCACCTGCTGGAGAAATATTTCTCTGATTTACTAGAAATTTACATGAAAAACGCAAAATGAATCCTCTGAAAGAACGCATAAATCATTGCATTGAAAAGGGACTCAGGGATTTTCATCATTTTCTCACAAATTTCATGCAAAATGAAGTATTTTAACAGATATTTCAGCTGAGGTTATTAGACAGTTTAACCCTTTAAGTTCAGAAGTCAACTTTCGTCAACATTCACAAAACAATGTTACATTTTTCAGATTTTTTTTCAAAAATTTTGATCTGCATCTCATGTAAAATTATGTCCATTTGGTAAAAAATGATCAAAAATATTATCAAAAAATACTTAAATAGGCAAAATGTTGCGCCAGAATTTTAATTGGAAAAATTATGTTAATGGTCCAAAATTTTAGATTGTTACTCGATAATGTTTGCATCATTTTACCAAGATCACACAGTGTTATTTGCACGTAACTATGAAAATGAGTTGCCTTCCCAGTCAACATGCTACTAAATTTATTTTATTTTGCCATCTGTGAGAAAGTCCTTTTAAATAAGTACACATCGTTTTATTTTTAAATCACATTCACACACACCCCACCACACAAACAGATTATATGCTTATAGAAATGGTGCTCGTCTTTGTCAGTCGATTCATGTTTGGTATTTGATTTTTACTTAGCAATGTCAAGATTCATTTGTGAATGAAAAATTTATGTTTATACACAAATATGTCATTTATTTCATTGTGTTATGAAAAATAAACGAACGTGTTTAGCAAGATCCTCTCGCTTTGTATGTACTGCTGTTTTCAGACAAGGTCACAATGTTTGCTTAACTAGACACCTATAACCCTGTCATTGTTCATATGTTTATATGGACAGTAATTATGAATGAATGACCTAAATGCATGACCAAAATTAATAATTTTAATCTTAATTGAAAAGTGAAAGATTTTCTCCTTAAGGATGCTCCTAGATGAATTATAAATACCCCAGTAACCTACTTTCATCAATAAATTGTAGAAAATTGAGTATTTGGTAGAAAAGTTAAAAAATTAATATTTTCAGTTTTGTTGCCAAGACAACTATTTTATATTTATGTATGGTATCATGTTTTAAGGGACAACATCAAAAGTTCAATGTAGGATAAAAAACTTAATTCCTTTAGTTTTTTCCCCTACCCCTCACTGAAACTCAATTGATAAATATTGATTATGGCGTCAGACTACATTCACCATTAAATACAAATTGATAATCGGACAGTAGTATTGCATAGCAGGTGGGTGTAAAAAGATTTTACAAATGCGCCAATAACAAAGAAAAACACATATTACACTCGCACCATTTTTCTCATCTTGGATGTTTTGTTTTTTTTCATTTTCTGTTATTTTTGTACATGATTGGATGTAAAAAAAAAGAATACAGATACTCCAAGATTTTTTTGACTTCATTAAAAAATAAATCGTTTTTATAGGATGGAAACTTTTTGAGGTCAAAACCCTCCCACCCCAAAACTAAAGCAAATAGTTTTTTATCCGACATCGATCTTTTGACATTGTCCCTAAGGTAGAAGCCTACTCAAATTAAAAAACCCAGAATTAATTCATTTTGTAATAAATTGTACTCCAAGGCAATATAAGGATGTTGACCTAAAAAAAAGTTGGGGGTCACCAGCCTTTTTTTCGAGAAATTGATGGTTGTATTTCAGTGGAAAGTCTCCATTTTGACACTATTATAACACTTTTACCACAAGTAGAAATATTATGCAATATCTCAAAATTTAGCCTGGTGACATAGGCTGAAAAAAATCATATATTGTTAATGATGGAGTACTTTTTGTTCTGAATTATTATTTCAAAAATCTGGGTTTTAAGAAGTGTCAAAAAATGCAATTTTTCTTTAACATTGTGTTCTATGGAATTGTTCTAAAAATAACAATTTTCAAGAAATATTAGGACATATTTCTCAAAAAGCATAACTGTAACACACAAAATAATGCTATTTCATTGTACCATGCGACATTAGCTTCATGATTGTACATAATAAACTAATGAACATTGTCATGCGATTTATGACCAATTTTGTCAAAATTGTGACTAGGCTTCTACTTTAAGATTTCAATCATTTTTAAGTCCTACTTTTGAATTTATA